TGTTTTTTTTTTCAAAATTGACAGTCTTTTTTTCTTTATAGAGCAAAAAATAAACGCAGAGATGGTCGAATACCAGCGAAAGAAAGGTCTATTTGTGGGGGGAAAAAAAGACATAAATTTAATTTATGTACAGTGTTGCATGACCGCTCAATTGTCAATTAAAGTAACACTGCGCCGCATCGCAAAAAATGACCTGGTCAGGAAAGGGGGTAAATCCTCTGGATGGCAAGTGGTTAAGCAGGAGTTTCAGTCATCTCTGCAAAAATGAAAAGTCTGCAACTACAAAAACTGTAACTGCTGACTATTAATAAACAGACACTCACCTGTCCAGGGATCCAGCGTTGTCCTCACCCGGGCCAGTTCTTTGCCAGTCTTCAGGTCCCAAGCACAATCATGTTAATCGTGGGCAATTGGCTATGACTCCTCGCAGCTTCACAGCCAGCTGCCCACTGTGATGTGTCCTAGGAGGTTGCAGTTGAAGGGGATGGAGAACGTCTAGTGGAATCTCTACAACCAGGAGTAGGAGAGGTTACCTTTCCAAACCAGGTACCTGCCCCCCCCCCCCCCCCAAAAAAAAAATAAAAAATAAATTCCATATATGGCAGAGCAGTGGTGGAGGAGGAGGAAGAGTAAAGCTTCTCTTTTTTGGGTGAAGTTCCGATGTAAAGTGGTTGTAAAGGCTATTCTATGCATGAAGATAAAAACCTTCTTTGTGCAGCTCCCCCCTTAGCCCCCCAGTACTCACCTGAGCCCCATCTCAATCCAGCACTGTGCACAAGAGCAGTGGCTCTCCAGGGTCTCTCCCCCCTCATTGGCTGAGGCAGCAGTGGGAGCTATTGGTTCCCACTCCTGTCAATAACATTATATGTAAATATATATAACCGCGCACTTGTGCACAGCCCAAAATAGAAAAGCAATATAAACAAGCAACAAACACAGAAAAGAGACATCCCTTACACAAAAGTTGTGTACAAATGTGTTGCGCTAAGTAAAATTATGCTCAAATTATACAGACATCTCATGATCAAATATCCACATAAATCAGTACAATATGAATGGAACAAAGTCCATGTGTAAAAAGAAAGTCCCATCCAAGTGCTAGCAAGTGTGGATATACGAGAAATTGATTCCTTCCAAAAGACATAAAGTGCCGATACCCAACACCTCCACCTAAAAGTGGTAATGGGATGCATGCTTCCCAGCTTCCAATGACCATCTAATAGTAAGAATGGTCAAAAAGCACTTATGTGATATCCTCTGATAACAGAGCTGTTCCCACAACAGCATCTATAATATACAGGAATACTGCCAATGGGCAATAAATAATCCTCCGAGTATGGTGTTATCATGTAAGGCAAAAGAAGGAAAAAAAAAAACCTTCTTAGAAGATAGTTTATTTAATAAAAGTATACTTGCAGATGTAAAAACAACAAGTGCATGTAATCACAATGCAAAAAGTCGACATCAACAATCCTTTTCCTAGAACACGATGACGTCAGTGCATAGCTCCGTCCGACTCTTTTCATCGTCAAAAGACATCTTCCTAGGGCCACTTTTTTTTACACATGGACTTTGATTCATTCACATTATACAGTCAATAACAGCCAGTGAGCCAATGAGAAGAGAACAGGGGGTGGGGCCAAGCCGTGCTCTTTGAATGGACTGACAAGCAGTGGCTCGGAAGCTAGCCTGCTCCGGTACCCCCATAGCAAGCTGCTTGCAATGGGGACACTTGGCAGGAGGGAGGGGCCAGGAGTGCAGGCAGGGAACCAGAGAAGAGGAGGATTCGGGCTGCTCTGTGCAAGACCATTACACAGAGCAGGTAAGTATGACATGTTTGTTATTTATAAAAAAATCTTTAAGATTATTTTTATGGAAGGGCAATCAACAGAAACAGGACGAAATTATGATATTGTAATTTTATTATGATAATAAATGTGATAGGTGTGACATATAGATTTACTGTGTATGGTAGAATTTGAAATGCTAGCTCAGGGTTGTATCTGGGAACATTTTATGACAAGTGTGTTATTTGGGTATGTTTCTGTTATTCTAGAACTTGCTGTCAGGCCCTGTTTACAGTATAGCCTTGCTGTAACACGTGCATTTCTGCATGCATTATCGCAACACACAGCACTGCACACCACTTACCATCCCAACACACCTTGCCAAAATATGTGCGTTGCAGTATGCTGCCAAAAAAAGTGCAGGTCCATTTTGTGTGACATTGAGGTGCACTGGCAGTTCATTTTTTAAATTTTTTTTTTTATATATAGCAACAATACTGAAAGTCAACAAGTAAGTCATAAAAATGACACACATAGTTCACAACATCAATGGTAAAAGCAGAGTTGGAAAGACAACAGATACAGGATCCCTGCAAGTTCATTTATTTTGGGAATGGGATGCATAGCACAGTGCACATTAATATTAAAAGTGTTACTAAACCTACAACATTAAATCAGTCTGTATATGCAAATACAGAAAATAATATACAAAAAGGATGTTTGATCCTTTCTTCTTTGATCCTCCCCTTCTTCTACTGTCCCCAATTGATCTGCTGAAGGAACAGAGCCTTGGGGTCAGGATGTACATGTTCAGTTTGGTGTGTATTGCTAGAGAGTTTTTTTTTTATTCTTGGGAGAGTGCATGTGATCAACACAGGGCCAATCAACACTGTCCAGACGGAGGGTCTGGGTCATGCAGTCTCAAAGACAATCAGGGGAGAATGAAAACTCATCTGTCCTACAAATTATAACCAGTGCTCAGCTGGGCACTGACAGAAGTCACAAGACTGAAATATACTGCTGATGAGAAAAGGTATTTAGCACTTTATATTTACTAAAATTATTGCATTTCCAAAAACATTAATGAATGTACCATAGCATGGAAGTGGGAAGTGGCAGGTATTGTGCCCCAGGAATTAGACACCACCTGATGATAGTCAATGGAGGGCATGCTTGTGTGTCGAGTGAGTGTAATCAGAATGGCGTGTGTATCTGGAGGGGGTCATGTTGGACTGGCTGCATAAAGAGCTGCACACTTTAACAAGGTGAAGTAATGGGAAAGTCCTCCACAGGTGCAGTTTGCTGCCATTTCACAGTTCTAGGCAAGTCAGGATATACAACGTAATGTGTATAATGATTGGACCCAGCAGTGGAAGTGTTTTGTAAGCAAAATCTATTCTATACAACTGGGTCTGCAGGGAAATCACTTACATTATTCTTGTAATAAAATTCAGATTTTGCTCCATATTACAATGGTTCTGTTGGCAGCACACTCGGCTGTTGTTTCCTTAGGAAGTGAGGACAGCACCTGGGTATGCCAACTCTGAGCAAGGAACCTGACCTGTAGAGTGGACCTGTCACTTCCTGCCCTGTAATACCTTCCCAATAACAGAGCAATTAGGAAGGAAGGCTCTCCGGGGTTATAAATAGTTTTATTGCTCTGATATAATGTCATTACTTTATGTTATAAGTACACTACTGTCAAACATGAGCATTTTGTGTGTAAACGCACAGTAGGTCCTACCAGCAGAATAGAAATGATGCTCATTTTGGTATTCAGAGTCTAAATTTGCCTGGATAGCTAATGGACCCTGTCTAACTTGGCCCTAGTATGTGAATATAAGTTAGGGACCTTGGATTGTACGCGCCTTGAGGGTTAGGAACTGATGTGAATGCACAATATATATGTAAAGCGCTGTGTAAATTGATGGCACCATGTAAGTACCTGTAATAATAATAGTTGAATCTGAGAATCCATAACATACAATATATAATTTCTCCAAGTCCCCTGCAGCTAAACCCACACACACTATAGGAGGCTGCCTACCCAATCCTACCCAGTGATGGATTTCTACTTCTACCTATTCTGACTCAGATTGTTGTGATAGCGATTTATCCCTTGTGAGACCTCTCTGCCTAGCCTGTATAAGCAGATATAATCACTGTGGGCAATCCTTGTCAGATAGCTGAACTCACCAATACTGTGTTCATCCAGAAGTTGCTTTATTCTGTACATGTGACAACAGGATACAGCAGAATGAATGGTTTCCAGTATTATGCGGTCAAAAGATGATACTTTCTGTAGCGTACTATGCGGAATACATGTGTCCCTGTTACATGTGGTCTGTTAGCTGCATCCATGACACAGGAAGTGCTGAACTCAAGAAGAAGGGAGGAGCTTCATATACAAAGGAACTGTGTCATAGATCTCAGGGAGGCAACATGAAAAACAAATGCATACCAAATAAGGCCACTGGATGGCAGCATTACTAACTATAGAAATATCCATAGAAAATGGTACAAAAAATAAACTATATGAACTCTCATGTACATTAACATGAATATTAACTGTGTAACAGCATACTACCAGAGGGTCTTGTGCTGCCTCTCCCTTGCCCTAGTTGACTGACAAGCCTTAAAACCTAAGTTTAGCTAACATTAAAAACGGAAACATCAGCACAAGGGACAGAACTTACATTTAATATGGAGAGTCTCTCCACTGTCCTAACCCCCACCCATGGATCATAATCTTTTGGTGCAGCAGGAGTTAAAGTGATATTAACCACTTGCCCTCCGGAGGACTTACCCCCCTTCCTGACCAGGCCATTTTTTGCGATACGGCGTTGCGTTACTTTAACTGCCAATTGTGCGGTCATGCAATGCTGCACCCAAATAAAATTTACGTCCTTTTTTTTGCCATGAATAGAGATTTCTTTCGTTGGTATTTGATCACCTCTGTATTTATGCTATAAACAAAAAAAGACTAACAATTTTGAAAAAAAAAAAAACTGTGTTTTTGACTTTTTGCTATTAAACATATCCAACGTTGTCATAAATTTAGGCCAAAATGTATTCTGCTACATGTCTTTGATAAAAAAAATCCCAATATGTGTAAATTGATTGGTTTATGTGAACGTTAACAAATGGCGATATAGATACTGGAATTTTGTTTTTTTTATCTTTTTTTTACTAGTAATGGCAGCGATCAGTGACTTATAGCGGGACTGCGGCAGGCATTCTGACACTGGGGGGGAACTGACTTGGTGTTACTGACATCCCCAGTGACACCAATACAGTGATCAGTGCTAATAAAAAGCACTGACACTTTTCTAATGGCACTGGGCAGGAAGGGGTTAACATGTGGGGCAATCAAAGGGTTAACGGTGTGCTGTGTGTGTGCTTTACACTGTAATCACACTGCTTTGTATGGTTCTGATATGCAGAGCCATACAAAGCAGTGTGCAGTAGCTGACAGGGGAGAGATCTGTGTTGTTTATACACAGGTCTCGCCCCCTTCGGTAATACTCAGCAATCGCCGGCGGGAAAAATCACGGGTTGGGACCCGGTGATTCACAGCCGAGGCAGCAAATAGCGGTGCTGGTAGGGCGAGCGCGCACACCCCTACCTGGAACTGCAAAATCACAGGTCTCCCCCCTTCGGTAATACTCAGCGATCGCTGGTGGGAAATCATGGGCTGGGACCCGGTGATTGACAGCCAAGGCAGTAAATAGCGGTGCTAGTAGGGCGAGGGCGCACCCCCTACCTGGAACTGCAAAATCAGGTATATATGTATATATATATATATATATATATATATATATGCGTGATTTTGCGTACCCGTGCTGCGCTGTAGCAGTATTTCTGCTATAGGTCGGCATTGAAGCGGTTAAATAACAAGCATGTTTTTACTTTTTTTTGTTTAAAGAAATGTCCTTTATACTGCACTTAGAGGCGCTTTTCTTCTTTCTTTATGTTATACTTACCCTCTCTGTGTAATGATTTTGCACAGAGCAGCCCCAATCCTTTTTTTCTCAGGTCCCTCCCTCCTGCCTAGTGTCCCCACAACAAGCAGTTTGCTATGAGGGCAGACAAGCAGGCTCGCTCTCAAGCCACTGCTCTGCGTGTCTATTCACACACAGAGCCATGACTCTCTCTCCTCATTGGCTCACTGACTGTGATTGACAGCAGTGGGAGCCAATGAGGAGGGGTGGCATGATTTCAAAACCGCTGGTCAGTGCGATGTCATGTGCGGCTTGCCTGATGTCTATGCAAGTCACATATGAAATTGCCAAAAACAGTGCAGGAACCTTTTTTTAAAAATTATTGCCATACCTCAAAGTTGAATACGCGCAGATTGGACCAGTTTCATAGGCACAAATAGGGCGTAGCTGTCGTATTGGTGTGCACCAGGGTTCACACTTACTTTGTTCCTGTGCTGTTCACCCCTTTTCTGTCTTTGCCATGGTTTTTTTTCTGAGAGCAATATGAAATGCGGCACAAGTAAATTTTAGGGGGTTGTAGGGAACACAAATGTGGAAGCAATGATTGTTACAGACCCTATAATAACAGATATCTCCAGCAGTCTCATGTAATGTGGCTTGATGATATGACTGTCTCCTGAAGCATGTCCCCAGCAAAAATCATGCAAAGACAGAAAAGAGATGAACAACACAGGAAAAAAGTAAGTGTGAGCCCTGGTGCACGACAGCTGCGCCCTATTTGTGCCTATGAAACTGTTCCAATCTGTGCTATTTGACTTTGAGGTGCAGCACTAATTTTGAAAAAAGGTTCCTGCACTGTTTTTGGCAATTTCATATATGACTTGCATAGACATCAGGCAAGCCGCGCATGAAATCGCACAGACCAGTGGCTTTGAAATCATGCTACCCCTCCTCATTGGCTCCCGCTGCTGTCTGGGAACTTGCAAGTCCGTAGCAAGTCTGCATTCCCTGACAGTTTTCTGTAGCAGTATAATTGATGAATATTATGTGCAATCCTTCGCTGATGTCAGGGGTCACACTTAAGGCCCCTTATATCAACTGAATCATCAGTTACTGGTATAGAGGTTTTTTTATTCCTTTTAATAGTCTCCTACAAAAAGGAGTAGTCCATAGATGGGAAAGAGGAATTCTGAATTGACCTGCTTGGACTGCTTTCACCACCACAATATAGGGGCTTCCACTGCCAGTACATTGACTTAAAGTGGTTGTGAACATGCAACATGAAATCTGAACAAAGTGCATGCAGTATTTTTCTATAGTGTTTTCTTGCCTCTCTCCAAAGCACGAAGTATTATTTCTCTCTGCTGTCTAGTTCCTCTACTATCAGCATGAGTCACTTCTGACAAGTTTTCTTGACACCAAGAACAAAAAGGTGGCAGGGGAGGGACCTCCAGCAGACTGACAGCTTCAGCTTTGTTCCTGTGTGCTGTGTGAAGGGGGGGGGGTGTCATTTTCCTCCAATCAGCTCTCAGAGCTCTTGTACAGTGTATAACTGCAGCTCTCTGTTGTGAGTTTGTGAAAATACTTTTCATCTCTAAGTTTTACAAGAATGTACAGGACAAATGGCTGCAAATAGATAGGTACAACTTATGTAGGAGGATTTGTTTAATCTCTGTATCACCTGAGTCCAGTCACTTCACTGGGTATAGGTAAGGGTTTACAACTACGTAAATCATAAGGCTAGAAACAATATCAGTATCTCTTTAACGAATAACATTTTTTTCTGTTTTTTGTTGAGCTGCAATAAAAAAATTGACAAAAAAGCAGACGCCAATCTTTAGTATGCAGTTGAATTTATCAGACAACTCTAACTGGCTAGGAAAACATTTTCCTGCTGATGACATTTAGGCGCATTTTTCACATTTCTTTCTGTAGTTGGCAAAATAAGAGGCAGAAAAAAAAGAAAAACTTGACGGCTCGTATGTTCCAGCAAGTGAAGTCTTGAAAATGAAGATGAAGGCAGTTAAGGTCAGTGACTCACCAGCTGAATAAACTGGTGACATGTTCTGAAGGAAAGCGCTGCGGGAGACAGGCGCAGGGATTTTTAGGAGTCACCCCTGAGCAATGTGTTCATCCTAATCCCCATGCTTCCTGGAAGAGTGCAGATGTAGCACTGTGAGGCTGGACACAAAGGCTTGTGTATGAGCGCCTGCCTTATAAAAGCTCATGTCAGCAGTATAATTACATGACCTCTGCTGCTAGACTGCAGGAAAATGTAGCTTCAGCACAGGTGACTGCCATGTCATAAACCAGAGACCAGAGGTAAACGTGTAACTCTTTCCATGAACTGGTGGCTGTGATGGTATGTGATTCGTTTGCATTGTGTAAGTTTTCTTTTTTTTCAATTTAATAGACCATCTGTGTAACTGTATAGAGCCCCATAGCACACCTGCCTAAGCCCACCTACTTAAATTCATAGGGTATCCCAGCTACAGTATAACTGATATCCCTGTTTTTTTGGTAGATGTTGAAGAACTAAACCTCTTAACAATGTATTGTATTTCTTAGGGACTTTATTCGTCTGCAATGGAATTCTGGGGTCTGCATACCTGATTTTGCCTTTAAGGATGGATTGTTTATTTTATTCTATGGAGGGGGGTGAGAACACACAAAGGTGGGCAGAGATACCAAACTTCCCAGAGGGACAGAAATATTGCCAGTGATTATGGCTGGGAAATGTCACTGCTTAGAGTATCAAGACATAGACATAGGAGGAGCCAGTCTACTTTATGCCTAAACTTTTTACATTTGGGAGGACCCTTTAAGGCCTTGTTTACATACTAAGCTAAACATATTAAAGCTTACACCCGTGGGAAGGGCCATGTTTGCTTGCACAGGTGTTCCGTGCATCCACGCGCAGGCAGTCCCATTCATGTCGATTGGGACACAGCAGCTGCACAGACACATCCACCGCTCCCAAATTGACATACATGTACGTGTGGGTGGGACCATGAAGAACAATCTCCACTAAAGCTCTTTTGGCTATACTTTTCCTGGGGCTCACAGGAGTGCAGTTTATTCTGTACCCCTGTGACCCGTTTTCAGCTGACAGTGGGCTAAAACCTGCTGTCGGCTGTCATCACAGAGCTGGTCCAGGCCCATATGGTCGGGTCCATCCAGAAGCCTGGAGTGGCATCTGGCTCAGGTTAGCACTGAGAGCCTGAGCTAGCCACTCTCTCTCTCCCTCTACAGAACAGAGCTCCAGTGACTGCTGGAGGGGCAGTGCAAAGAGCTTATGACGGACAGTCCCCAGCTCTCTGCTCACTGAACACTGAGAACTGAACACTGAGAACTGAGCAGTCTTTGATCACTCAGTTCTCAGTCTTAGAGCCAGCAAGGGACAGTTGCAGCATTGAGTTGATGCTGCGTCCACCTAGGTGAGTATAATTTGTTTTCTTTGTTAGCCCATACTTCTCTTTTAAAAAATGGCTTGAGTTAAGGTATATAGAAGTGGTGGTCAACATGAATGTAATAGAGGACCTCATGTGTGTTGAGTGCATTACATTGAGTGAGGCAGCCCATTCAAAATAAATAGCTTATAATGTACCTCAATGCCCAAAAATTTCTGTTCAGCTACTAAGTGATTATTGGTGTCAGTGACCACAATAATAACCTCTAGTACAGTGCCAGTGAAATTTAACCCCCTTTCCCCTCCACTGGTGGTCAGTGTAGTCACAGTGAGATTTACCACCCCACCACCCTCCCCTGTGGTCAGTGCAGTGAGGTAGTGAAATTTAACACCCCTTTAGACCTACCCCCCCACCCTCGGTGGTGATAGCAGTGTGACAGTAAAGTCTAACCCCCCACCCACCCACCCTCCCTGTTTCAGTGCAGTGTGGCAGTGAAGTTTAATCCTCCTTACCTGACACACTCCAGCACCGTTCTTCCACTCCCCTCAGTCTACAAAACCAGGTCGGGACTTGTACTGTGGGTGGACATAACTCACCTACAGTACATTTTATTTCAGTGCCGGATGTTGAAATGCAGAGAGAGCTTCAGTGCCCAGCACCCAGTTGCTGCTTTGCAAAGTGGCCATGGAGGGCCAAACCTAGAGACCAGCAGCCACGTGGCATCACTGATATGTAGGAAACCTCCAATGAGAGAATATAGAGCCTTTCTTTGATGACCTTCTTCTTCTGAAAATGCCAGTTGACTGGTTATGCTTATCCAATGACTTCAGTCTTTCTAGGTCAGTAACTTGCAACAAGTATGCAGATCAGGGGTTCTGACTTTCTAATCTTCAGCCTTGTTCAGGGTCCATTACTTCAAACAAACTAACACTTGGGCAGGGGCGGACTGACAACTCATGGGGCCCCCGGGCAATAGGGGATCATGGGGCCCTGTGTCCTTGCCCAAACTCAAAAAAGCCTATGAAAAAAGTACCAGGGGTATCTCATGGGGCCCCCTACTGACCCCGGGCCCTCGGGCAGTGCATGAGTTTCCAAATGGTCAGTCCGCCCCTGCACTTGGGACAGCCAAAGATCAAATGGTCTTAGGAGGCCAGCAATTGCCTCCTCAGTATTTTTCTCAGGTTTCCATTATCAACTGTGTTTTATAGTTCCAGAAAC